GTGTACTGTGTTGTTGGTGTACTGTGCTGGTATACTGTGCTGGTGTACTGTGTTGGTGTACTGTGTTGGTGTACTATATTGGTGGTGTACTGTGTTGGTGTACTGTGTTGGTTTATTGTGTTGGTAGTATACTGTGTTGCTGTACTGTGTTGGTGTACTGTGTTGGCAATGTACTGTTTGCTGGTGTACTGTGTCGGTGGTGTACTGTGTTCATGGTGTACGGTGTTGGTGTACTGTGTTGGTATACTGTGGTGTTGGTGTACTGTGTTGGTATACTGGGTGTTGGTGTACTGTCATGTTGGTGTACTGTGTCAGTGTATGTGAAACCTCACATCACAGAGATGTCACTGTTGCTGGCTGGAAGAAGTGTGGGGAACAAATGTCAAAGCATGCGTGTGCCTCTGGCAGCAAAGTTAAAATACACACAAACTAGAAGATTGGCTATATTAAAGCACAAGACATGATTAATATAACTGCTGTCATATTGAAATTGATGAATTCACTTTTAAGAAATTTAGTTTTCTAAAACTCTAATTTATAAGACTGTGATGAAATTCCACAGTCCTTAAAGTAAAATTAAAATGTCAAAGTACAGCAAGATATTAAAATTGGTTATTTTAAACCTTCTACAATCTTAAATTCTCAACATATTCACTGTTTTGATTTTTAAACTTAACTTTCAGTTTAACTTTGGAAATATAGGAAAGTTCTTGCTTTTTGGAATATTCTAAAGCATTTAATGATAAGATAAATAATTCCTAAAAATGCTTTCAGAAACAGTAACAACCAAAAAATCACAGTAACAGAAGAAAGGAGGAGGAAGAGCTCAGACATCATTCCAATGAATGACAGTGGCAAAAAAAAAAACAGAAAAAAAAGTTGAGGAACTGGACAGCTTCGATGTGAATCCCCTCTCCACTTACCAGCTTTGGGATCTGGAGCAAATTATTTAATACTTCTGTGCGGAGTTAGTTATGAGGTTTAACAAACTACTGTATATTTTTCTATACTATGTTTGTAAAATGTAAAGTGCTCAGCAAAGTGCATGGGATACAATAAGTAATTTAGATGTGTTTAAAGACAATAAATTCTCACACATGGGTATAAACTCCCAAGTATTTGAACGCCCTTCTTATCCCTCTAATACATTCACTTGCAGTAGAAGATAGAGAACAAAACTGTACAACAGGAAGCAGCTGAGTTCATGCCATCACATACTACACAGAGGGATAAATAAGATCATTCTGGCTTCCTACCAGCATCATAAAGGCAAAAATGCTAAGTCCTACAATCTTTATTATTTACCCTATGCTAACCAGGGTCACTGTCTATTGCAGGAGATGGTAATACATATAAGATACATACACAAATCCACATACATGGACATGTTTGTGTATGTGCATGTATATATATATGTCACTCAACTACTCAGGGTCAGAGAAGCTATTCAAATATTAAACAGAGCCTGACACCTACTGTAGAATCGTGTGCACTTATTTTAAGACCCACCATTATTTTCTCCTGCCTTTTCTTCTCCACATAGTTCTTTGATAACGGCATGGAGCAGCCCTTGCAGAGACAAGGTGCTGACGTCGCATGTCCTTAACGCTCACTTACTTTTGTGTCTAAAACAGACATGATCATTTCCTTGGCTTCCTTAACATCTTCTTTCCTTCCAGAAACCTTAATATGGGGATCTGTAAGAAATCAGAAACAAAGGCGCATGTGAAACTCAAACTTTCCCCAGCTCTCTGGCTTAAAATTGATGTTACAATGTGAGAAAAGAGCTCTGGATGTGGGGGTGCAGGCCTGTAATCCAGCCACTTGGAAGGCTGAGGCAGGCAGATTGCAAGTTCAAGACCAGCCAGGAAAAATTAGTGACTTAGTGA